GGGGTGAGGTCCCTTCTAAATCAGTTGGGATGCCTGGGTTGGTGCTAGAAGACCCTTGTTAGAGGGACCCCACCCACCCACTCCACAGAAGAGATGACTGTCCTCTCCACCCTCTCTCCCCACCCCCACCCCCAGGTCTGCAATCACTGCCAAACCGGTTGCTAAAGGACTCTGCATACAGCCTAATTCCATCACTAGCCTCCTCACACAAAGAAAAAGAAATAAAAGCCTATTTTCTTCGATGTTTTTAAGGCTCACAGGAGATGCCACTTCCCCCAAAGTTTCTGGTATGCTTCACATATTTTCATTGGCCCTAAAATTTCTAGTCTCTTTAAATGTTTCCTCCTCCCATTTTCCTCATATCAAACAAAAATGAAACTTATATTGAATCTGAATTTTCTATCGTCCACACTGATCGACATTTCATTTGGGCTTTGCATGGCTAAGCCTGTGTTGCCATTTGAACATTTCTTTTAGGAATATCATTCAGTTGACAATTTCCTGGTTCAGCTTTGATTAACCTGTTAACTCCATTCATGGCATTGCTGTTTTTAATTACTTTTTCAAATTCTATTGAGTTCTTTCTCATATGAGCTTGGTTAGACTTTGCGGTATCTTAGTTTCTGCTCATATCTGTCTTTGGAGAATTTTTTTTCACTATGAGATACTTCTAACTTTACTGGTGTCAATTCCTGAAATTTGGGGTAAAAAAAGACTCCTCTAAAAGGGGGAAGGGGAGAAATTTGGCTTCTGCTCAGTACCAGGGGCACTTCCAATATGGTAAATCTTTTTTTTAAAAAATATTTATTTGTTCATACAAGAGCTGGAGTACAGGGCAGAAATGCGGGGGGTGAGAGGATTCACCAGAGACAGAGTGGGGAACAGAACAGGCAGACTGACTGAAATATACTGCTGAGGGGAGCAGCAGTGATTCAGGAGAGGTCTGCTGTGCCATGTGGGTTACTCCCTGCCCATGGATCGAACTCATGCTGCAGAGGCTGAGGATTGCTTCACAGTGCGGAGCTTAACACATGACACAGCAGACCTCTCCTGACTCACCCACTGCTCCCCTCAGCCGTGTATTTCAGTCAGTCTGCCTGTTGTGCTCCCCACTGTCTGATGAATCCCCTTACCCACCCACCCCCGCACCTGTGGCCTGTACCCCAGTTCTTTTATGCATAAATAAATCTTTTTAAAAAACTGCTTTGTGAATGACCAAAAAAAGAATTTAAATATATATATACACACACATAATTTTTTTTAAAAGACTTACTTTTCTTTTTCCTTTTTTTTTTTTTTTTTTTTTAAGATTTATGTATTTATTTATACAAGCACTGGGTACAGTCAGAAGTGCAGGAGGGTGAGAGAATTCACCAGAGCCAGAGCGGGGAGCAGAGCAGGCAGAAGGACCGAAGTACACTGCTGGAGAAGTCTGCGCCCCATGTGGGACCCTCCTCCGGTGGCCCGGGAGCAGCTGGCGCTGCAGAGGCTGCGGGCAGCTTTGCAACCCAGCGCTCAACCGCTGTGCCACCGGGGAGGCCCCCACACACAAAATTCTTAAAACTCAAGAAAAAAATTCAATTTATAAAACAAACACCTTAATAGACACCTCATAATGTACATATACAGATAGCAAATAAGCATATGACAAGATACTTAATGTCACAGATTATCAAAGAAATGAAAATTAACAATGAGATGCCACTATACCTACTAGAATAGCCAATATCCAGAACACTGACACCACCAAATGCTGAAAAGGACCTGGAAAAACAGGAACTCTTTTTCATTGCTGGTGGGAATGCAAAATGGTACAGCCACTTTGGAAGAGAGTTTGGCCTTATCTTTATAACATTAAACATACTCTTAACACACAGTCCAGCAATCATGCTTCCTGGTATTTGAAAGCCTATGCCCACATATATATCTTTACACGAATGTTCATAGCAGCTTATTTAATGCCAGAACTTAGGAGCACTCAAGATGTAAGTGAATGGAGCTATCAAACCATGAAAACATGAAGGAATTTAAATGCATATTACTAAGCAAAATAAGGCAATCTGGAAAATCTACATACTGTATAATCCCAACTACATGACATTTTGCAAAAGCAAAACTATGGAGACTGTGAAAACATCAATGCCATGACTGAGAGATGTATAAACAGAGCACAATTTTTGGACAGCGAAAATACTCTGTATTATACCATAATGATGGATACATGTCATTATACATATCTCCAAGCCCACAGAACACACAACACCAAGAGTGAACTGTTATGTAAAGCATGGATTTTGGGTGATGTGTTGATGTAGGTTCATCAGTTATAATATGTGTCCCACTCTGGTGGGGATGTTGGTAATGGGGAGGCTGTGCATGTGTGAAGGGAGGAAGTATATAGGAAATCTCTGTAATTGCTGCTCAATTTTGCTGTGAACTTAAAACTCATCTAAAAGATTAAAATCAAGAGACATATGGAGGACACACCGAGAGGAGAGACAAGTAAGTGAGAGACACATAGACATGTTATTCCTGGGGCTTTAGTGTTTGGACAGAGACAATGGCAGCCATTATCTTGACCTTGAGGTGGATTCCATGATACATTTTAAATTTCATGTCTGGCCTCCCTGGTGGTGCAAGGGGTTAAGCACAGCACTATGAAGCAATCCGCAGACTCTGCAACAAGAGTTTGATCCCCAGCCAGGGAGCTACCCACATGGCACAGCAGGCCTCTCCTGACTTCCCTGCTGCTCCCCTCAGCAGTATATTTTGGTCAGTCTGCCTGTTCTGTTTCCCACTCTGTCTCTGGTGAGTCCTCTCACCCCCAACATCACTGGCCTGTACCCCAGCTCTTGTCTGCATTAATAAATAAATAAATAAATTTCATGTCTCTCCTTCAGTCCCAGCTCTCTCAGAGACCTACCTATCCCCTAAGCCTTTTCTTATGGTTCCCACTGGAAAGTACCTTAGACTTCTGGCAAGCTTTTGACCCTAGCCACCCAGCTTTGGGCCAAGCCTCTCTGGATGGGCATTTGCCCTGAGGGGCTAGGTAATGTTGTGGGTTTTTCTTTTTTTTGTGAATCTGTTATTTGAAATCCTTTCATCCTTCTCCATCTCTCTTTCTCTCCCTACACACACCAATTAAAGATCTTTCACACTAAGAAAAACTAAAGTCAGTTAAAAGAAGAGTTAAAAAAGCTCTACATGTAATGATATACAAAATATATTGTTACAAGAAAAAATGCAGAATTATGTGGCTGATACATTATCATCTGAATTTTAAAAGGACATAAAAAGACATTCTTTTTTCATATAAATTCACTATCGTTTTGAAAAATACACAAAAAGACAATACTGTTGAACTCTTAAAGAACTGGATGACTAACGGACAGAGGTGTGAGAAAATTTTCACTGACTTTTGAAGGTTTAAAAACTTTAAGCATGAGAATGTATAATCTATTTATTCTTTTCCAACAAATAAAAAGTAATATACAATAAGAATTCTGTGAGGAAAAATATTTTTTAATTTCACCAAACTGGAGATGATAAATTTTCAAGAATGTGTTAAAAACTAGTCTTCACTTCACTTTTTGCTTTTGACTGAAACTTGATACAAAATAGATTTCATGGGCCTCCCTGGTGGCGCAAGGGGTTAAGACGCAACCTATGAAGCTGTCCTGTGACGCTGTCCACAGCCTCTGCAGCACGAGTTCGATCCCCCCGCCGCTGGCCAGGGAGCAACCCACACTGTGCAGCAAACCTCTCCTGACTGGCCAACTGCTCCCCTCTACAGTGTACTTCTGTCAAACTGCCTGTTCTGTTCCCCACTGTCTCTGCTGAATCCTCTCCCCACAACACACACACTTCTGGCCTGTACCCCAGCTCTTGTATGCAAAAATAAATAAATCTTCAAAAAAAAAATAGATTTCACATTTTCCCCTTATGTCAAGTAAAAAAGAAGTAGGTGCACAGTTTGTGTCCACTCTTTCTAGACTGTATTTTAATGCTTTACCCAGCACACAGAAAAATGCTTCCAATTCACACTCTATTTAAAACAGGAAAAGTTGTGCTTCAGAATAAAACACTTGTATGGAAGTTCTTTCTCCTCCCCTCCCCCTTTCTTTTTCAATTTGAGAAGAAAAGATTCCTCTGACATTCATGTTCAGACACAGCTCAGGAAAATAAAATAATCACATTACAGGGATTCCCCCATGGGGGGAAAGAAGAAACTTTCTAGCCTTCACTCAGCAAACACTGCCAGATTAGGCAGGTCTAAGTCACAGAGAACATGAGGAAGGATTCCCATTGGGCCACTGAGTCGTGCTGCAGCCAATTGCTGACAATTCATGAGAAGGAAAAAAGTATGAAAATTCAAAACGTCCTCCCAGCCCTCTCTGAAACTAGCTTAAAGAACCATACTTTAAAAAATTACTAAAATGTCAACTTTGATGAAAAGAGAGTAAGAAAGAATTATTTTCCTTTAAAATCGCTTCCCAGTCTCCTACTTCTGCTCCTTAGGAGCCAGGAAGTAGTTACTTATTTGTTTTTATTATTGAAATTCAAGTATTCATTTTTCCCCCTTAATTCTATTTATTAAGCTGAAGCTTCAAAGTTCAAAAGGCACAAAAGGGTATACAATGAATAGTTTACCTCTGGTATCTGTCTCCCAGCAACCAGCATTATTAGTTATCTTGTGTATCCTTCCAGATATCTATGTGCATACAAGAAAAGATGTATTTTTTTCCCCTCAACCTATGGTTTCTCCTTTTTTGCACAAATGGTTGCTGGAACTGGTGATCTTTACATTGAAATACAAATAAAAGGATCTTAATATAATTCTAACTCCTTATATGAACACAGTACTCTTTTCTATAAATAAATCTTTTAAAAAATAAATTTCTTTTCAATATCTCCCACCTCACAGTTAAAAAGAGTTGCTTAGCAAAAATAGGCAGTCTAGAGAACTACAGTGTACATAGTAACACAGAAAATCAACTCACTTAACTTCTGGTTCAGGATTGTAACCCCTGAAAAAATTTCTATAGATCTTCAAAGTTCCACCAGGGGTAGTTTGCAAAGATTTCATTAGCACTCCATGGATGCCTGTTCCAAGGTCCAGTAGTCCTTTCAATTAAATTGAAGAGCGAGAGAAGAGGGAAGTTGAAAGTAGAATTCAAATGTTTGGTTCTGATGGAATAGCAACAGGAAGTGAAGGCTGATAAAAGAGAAACCAAGATTGCCTTCCATCAGTTAATCAGTAACTCACATTTGCATTGCACTAAACTGAGTGCTTGTGCCTTTCAGTGGCAATTTAACTGATAATGCACAGGCACCTCCATGGCTAGATAGGTTCGTAGTCCCTGCTAAATTCAGAAGAACTAGCCACAGAGAAAAGCAGCATAAGCCAAAAAAAAACAAACTCAAGAAGAGGATAATCCAGAGACTATATTGAGTCCTGCATGCGTGCGTGCGTGCATGCACGCATGCACACACACACACCCCCTACACACACAGCATCCTTTGCAGTACCTGAAACAAGCTGAATTCTAAAGAGTGCAGCATCTAATTTTTTTAAATCTTCAGTCTTATCCTTTCCCCTGGAGTCAGTAGCATGGGATTCCCATCCCAGCGTGTCCATGAGGGAGTAGACAGTCCTTAGCCTCAGTTCTCCATGGTACAATTTACAGTCTAATTTCCTACGGCAGGTTAAGAGGCACCAAATGCCAGCTCTGGGAATAAGCAGAAAAATTTTACTAGTGTCCAAGGTAATTCTGATCCCCAATTTGAAAAACATTATAGGAGGACACTATCTGGTTCATTCCAGCAGTACGTCTGAAAATACAGTTCTTCTTCAAGAAAATTAAGTAGACATGGTTTACATAAGATAGAGTCCATATTTAAGTCCTGAATGCCTACAAATACACAATCATGAGATGTCCTCATGATTTTAGACAACAAATCTGAAGCGATAAGTGGGCCACTTTGATGCGTAAAAAGGTTCTGCAGAAGAAACCCTACACACCACTCACTTCTAAACAAATCTCCAACACAGTTTATAAACAAAGTCTTGAATGTTCTTCTGGCACCAAGCCTGAATCTGTAATCTCTTAAAATTCACACTGGGAATGTTGTTTCTCCACTTACCAAAAACTAATCAGAAACACTTACCTGACTGTATTTGGGCCAGAATGATGAATTTGAAAAGAGAAAGCCAACTCATCAATTCAGTCCTGCTTTCCTGAGTGGCAAACTGATGTAATGGAGCATAGAGGCAGACAGACCTGGAGTCTCAGCATGGAGTCTCAGACACACTGACCTAGTTCCTGGGCAAGAAACTAACCTCCCTGAACATCAATAACATGGGATAGTAATTCCTGCATCTTGATTATGAGTATTAAAGTGATATAATGTAAATGTCCAAGCATATCATTAGAATACATTAATGTTCATTCTTCCATTTCTATAGAATCCCTTGTCTAAGATATTTACTAGACAATAAATAACCAGAAAAACTGTCCCATGTTAAATCCTAATCAGACCTCCCTGGTGGCCTAGGGATTAAGTCTCAGGCTATCACCAGTAAGGCCTGAGTTCTATCCCTGGCCAGGGAGCTAACCGACATGTGGTACAGCAGACCTCTCCTGTCTCACCCCCTGCTCTCCTTATCAGTGTATTTCAGTAAATCTGCCTATTCTGCTCCCCATTCTTTATCTCTGGTAAATCCTCTTACCCCACCCCACCCTCACCCCCCCACACACCTTTGGCCTACACCCCAGTTCTTCTGTGGGAAAAAAAAAAAAAAAAGAATCCTAATCATGCCAAAATTCCTAAGGTCAAAAATAGATAACAACTGAAAAACGACTCTGCCTTTATGTGTTTGCAGCAACTATGTTCTCATGATATACATATGCTTAAAAGCAAATATAAAATCAGAAGGAGCCTGTTGTCAACACCACTCAATGACATTAGGTTAAATCAAAAGGCACTGCTGGTATTTGACCACTTAACTATATCAAGTTTATATAGTTGGAAATGACAATTCAGGAGTGTAGGGTAAAGAAAATATCAGGCTTTTCTGCCCTTCCGCCATCAGGATAGATGATGGATCCTTGTCCTGAATGCATGCCTGATGGCGGGCACCTGGAATAGGGTGTGGGCATAGGTAGATGGGATTCAGCTGAGCTAAGACTGTGCTTTTAAGGGCGGCGTTGCGGGGGGGACGCCAGCAGTAGAAGCAGCAGCAGCAGCAGCAGCAGCAGCAGCAGCAGCAGCAGCAGCAGCAGCACCAGCAGCAGCAGCACCAGCAGCAGCAGCACCAGCAGCAGCAGGAGAAGCCGAAGCAGAAGCCAAGACGCAGCAGAACGAACTCCAGAGAGCTCAGATAGAGTGAAGACTTGCTGGGGGCTGGGAGGCCTGCCAGCCTCCCAGCCAGCACCCCTGCCTGCCATATGCCTGGTGAACCCCAAATAAAAAACCTGCAAAACTACTGAGGACTCTGACTCCTCCTTTACCCAGTCTGCATGGGATCAGAAAACCTGCACTGTGGCCAGTCCTGCCCTTACAAGGAGCAAGGATTTCATACCTGCTCTCCTGGAGTCCTGGAAACAGCAGGGTCATTAGAAAGCAAAACACAGCATGGTCATCCCAGTTCTGCCACTTAATAGCTGTGTGACTTAAAGGAAATTATTTTTGCAGGCTTGGTCCCTGATTTCCATGTTTGTATAATAAACATGGTAGATTTTTTTTCTGCTGTCATTTAATGACTGCAACAAGGCACAGACTCTTTAGTGCATTCAAAATGCAGGATTGGTGAGAACATTCTTTAACTTTGTTTCTTTAGTAGTCCCATAGGCACCATCCCAAAATTTCACTTTGAGGCACAGGAGACAGAGACCTTGATGATAATAACACAAAGCTGTGTAAACTCCTTCAGAGACTTCTTAAAGAGCACTTCTAATGCGGCACACCTACCACAGCAGTACTGGATTTCTCCTTAAACAGAAATGGTCACGGGTGTCAAAGAGAAGTGAGTGAATGTCCACTGAACTGTGTCTAAATGATTTTCCTTGTGAGCAAAGCCCGCCTGGAATCAGCCCCTGCTAGTAAGAAGAGAGAACATGCTTCCCAGGCCGAGGGGGCTTTGTTCCAAGTAATGAGTTCTGCACCACTTGGTCCACAATTCACAGCTGAGTGGATGTTCCTGAACAAAGAACAAGAGCCAAATGGGGATGCTCTTCAGCAAGCTTCTCTGAGCTGATCTTTGTTATTAGATTCAGGAGATGGTAAAGGAACCTCTCTCCGGTACCTTCTGTATCCTAGCAGTGGCAAAAGGAGATGTTTGTCAATCTCGGGCAGTATTATGTCAGAGGTCTGTCATGGCAGTAATGGATTTCATTAGCGCCTAAATGCACAAAAAATGCCTAGAAATTATTTCATCACGAAATTTTAAGTGCCAAATTGTATTGCTTTTAACCTCGATCATAATTTTATACCCTCCCACCCTTTTTTATTTTCTCAGAGAAATAATAGTCATGATCCTTCAAGCATGCAGACCAACACCATTCTTGGAAGGGAGCTGCAGGAGGTTTATTATGTCATGAAACAGGGAACCAGAACAAAGAACTACTGAACCACTCACCTTATCTTCATCTAAGAAACCTGAGAATTACAGGGTTTCTCTGTTCCTTCTGAATTCAGAGCTGCACTTGCCAAGGCTGTAAGTTTTAGGGCAGAGTCTGTACGTGAGAGAGGCACACAATGCACCTTACCAGACAGCTACATCCTTATCTAAAATTCTCAAAGACATTGTTCAGAGGTTTTATATCAAAGTTTAGTGATTGTTTTTGAATCTAGAAGCCTGATTGCTCAGTACTAAATCAACTTTCTCCTTAAAAAGAGTCCTCAACATCTTTACCCTGAAAACCTGGTATGGCATTAGAATTATTTCAGAATTCACAACTCTTAGTTCATTAAGATGTATTTATCTTGCTTTATGTATAATTAGCTTTTAAGGAATACTTGTTGACTAAATGAATAAATTAAGTAGAAAAGAGTTTTCAGTTACATTGTAGCAACCCTAAGAAAACACCTTTAACATTCTGTTTTTATAATTATAGCTTTATAATTATTTAGAAGATCAAGTCTAGAAATACATGTAATTGAGGTTGATGTGGGAAAATGTATTAGACAGAAGCAGTGACTTTAACTGCTTTTATGAAGAATCTGGTGCAGCTATAAATCCTGGCTCTGCCCATCAACCTTCACTCCCTTTGTCTCATTCCCATTCTCTCTAACCCTCCCCCAAGCTCGCCAATCTCATTATCCCAGGATCTGCTAAACTGCAGTTTACCTCCTGGAACCAGCAGAAACACATGTCACTGAGAATTAGGGAGTTGGAGCCAGTTACAAGCCACCAAATAGGGTCACAACATATATCTGAAGATGAAAATTAAAGAGTTCTTCTACTTTTTTAATTATGTGAAAGGGGAAAATATAATTAAACATTTTTTAAACATTTGAGCTGGATAGACCACACAACTGTCCAAGCATTCATAATGAATGGAATGGGAGTGAAAACTTTAACAGCACTGTATTTGTTAATCATCTGAAAAGTAATATGCTGACTTTATTTGCTGAGGTTGGGAAAATAGTCTTAAAATTCCCACCACTAATTAACATTTGCTATTCTTGAAGGCAAATTGTTTAAAAGTAGGATACAGCAAGGTAGTACCATATGTATATGGCTTCATACAAGGTAGCTCTGTGACACACTTTATCACAGGAAGAGTAACTCCATTTTAAACTTTTATTAGCAGTTGTCCTAATATTTATTTTAACAGCATCTAGGTCTATCCATCACGCTGCCTAGGAAAAACTAGCAACAAAAAGGAGCAGATCTTCATACCCCTTAAGATTTGTACCCCTGCCGAATGCTAACCTGTTTGTAAACAAATGGAATTTTTAAAGGGGATGGAGGTGTCAAGACTCATAATTTTAAGAAAAGGACAATTACTCTCTTAACAAGAGACTTGATGGAAATCTGACTGGTCTGAGTAAAGGCTTCTTGAAACTTTTCCTGCAGAAGATTAACTCGAGATGTGAGCAAAACACAAGAGCAACTGGAAAAACAATCACTTCTGCGAAAGTCTTTGTTTCTTTTACATCGGCATTTTACTTTGGCCCATTTCGAAGCGCAACTCATAGTCATTAAAAAGCCAAGAAAGCCCAGTTCCAGCGGGTTTGTACACGCCCCGTCCCCACCTGCGGAAGGAAACACAGCTCTGTCCCTTAATACTCGGCAGCAAGCACCTGACCGCATTTTTAAAAAAATGCAGCTACACCAGGAAGTAAATATATATATTTAATCTCCACTGTTTGGAAGAGCTGGGGAAAAGCTCAATTATTGCCCCAATAAACAATCTCTCACCGTTTTCTTGGTCTATAATCAAAATGATAAACGAGAGAGGGGTAATTTTCTTCTTCAATTTAGTTGGTGATTAAATCGATTAGCAGAGCTACCACATCAAGTTAGTTGGTTATCTTTCCGCAGCTGAACAAATAACGTGAAAATGAGACCATAAACAGACCCTGACGTACAAACAACAAAGGAAAAGTCCGCTGGAGAAGGCGCAGGAGACCAGGGCTGCTGCTCCCGGTGGCGTCCCGGCCGCGGCGCCGTCGCCTAGGGAACCCGGCGCAGGCGCAGACCGCGCCGCGAGTCCGGGACCGTGTGCACGGCTGGTAGCCGCGCCGCTCAGGTACCCCCAGTTTATTTCAGGAAAGGGCAATGGAGCAGATCCTCCCAGTGCCCTGAGCATCCGATCCTCCACCGCAGGGTCCGGAGAGAAGTAACCGGCGCAGAAGAATGTGAGATTCCCCGAGTGTGCTGCACACGCACTCCCCTTTCGGGGACCGGCTTTGGCTTGGGGGTCAGCGGTCCCCCCGGGTACCCCGCCTGGAGTGGACAGGGCGTGAAACATCTCGCAGCAACGCTTCATCCTTCACCGGCAGAAACCCCACCGACCACCCCAAGAGACCCCAGAATTGAGTTCTGGTGCAAGCAGACACAAACACCCCTTTTGAATTACAAGACCCCAAAACTGAAGACGGCCCAAACTCCGCAGCCGGGTTGGGGGTCCCCACAAACAACACCACTCCACAGGCTTAGCCGGACTGCAGCGAGGAAAGCGAGCCACCTGCACACCTGGACTGAGGTGGTGGTCCTCTTTTTCCCGTCCTCCTTGGTCCCCCCAAAGCACTGACCTGCTCAACTTTGAGTGTTCGGCGGATGAAGGGTTCCTGGGAGTCCTGGGCACTGGGGCAACCTCCAAAGGGATGAGGTGCTGTCCCCTGGGCCTCTAACTCCAAAAGCCAGCAAGGGGCAGAAAAGCCCCCGGGAGAGTACCGCTCCCCCCTAGTCAGCAGAACCCCCAAGTCGCCTGGAAGCGCGGGGCGCCACTGCCTAGACTGCTTTCTCATTCAAATCCTCAGCCTGCAATGCAGCCCCCTCCCCGTCTCGCAGCTCCCGGGAAATCAGGACTGGAGCAGGAGAGCGGACCGGAGTCCGCCTGCACCGCCTGTGTGGGTGGGTGGGTGGGTGCGCGCGTCGGGGCACCTGGACCCGGCGCTAGCAGCCCCGGTGGGGTTCGCTGGGCCAGGCGCAACCGAGTCTTATCTTTCCCCAGGATCCGAAGGTCCACAAACCCAGGCACAACCCTTCACGTGCAACTGGGGGTTGTGTTTCGAAGCCCCTCGGAAGTGGGAGGGGAAAGTTTGGCAAAACAAAGTTGGAGGTGAAGGACTCGGGGAATGGGAGGTGTGTGCAGCTAGCACCAGAATAAAAAGTGTCAAAACCGCACCTTAAGAAAAATTCCGAACCCCTCTTCTTAACTCCCAGCACATTTGTTGCCCTTTTAAGCAAACACTATCTCTAATGCTCTTCGGAGATCTGCTTTGAGTAAAGCGCAGCTAATACTTAGGAAGTGAGTGTAAGTAAAATTCTGCTTTTATTCCCCCACCCCCCACCCCACCTACCCCCGTGTTTTATTCCAGATGCTTCTTCTAAACGTTAACAGGTCATTGATTCAACTAGTCAGCTTAGCGACTCAAATGGCCGAGCTGTGGTTAATAAGAGCACAGCATTGGCAGAGGAAATCTTGCACACAGTGGGCGCTCAACTTTGCGATGAAACGAACAAATCTGCGCTGCCTGAACGGTTTGTGATCAATAATAGGTGCGGTGCTGGAATCTGGCCTTCGCCGGCCCAGGCTGCCCGCGGGATCCGGCTTCGAGATTCCAGGATTTGCATTTATCAGCTTCATTCAACCTGCCCTATTGTTAGTTCAAAGCCGGGCTGGGAGGGACTGCAAGACTGTTCTTCACTCACCTTCAATTTAAAATTCTCCACCAATAAGAAGGTCCTAGAAAAGCTGGCAGTTAGGGGTTGGCAGGGATTTTGTGGGCTTAGTGACAACATAAACTAAAGTCATTTTGGTTTTCATGCGTGAATTTGCTCAGGAAGTTACAAGTAAGAGCCTGAGGCAAGACTGTGGCCCCGCAGTAGGTCCGCAGTGATGGACAGTTCATGTGGGGGGTGGTAGCGCCGTGACCTCTGCGAGCAAGATCTAGGGTTTCACCTTTTCATCCCACTTAGCTGATACCATAGAAACAACCCATTTGTATTATTCAATTCTACCGAGCCAATTACAATGTCACAGCAAAGCACCCTGGGCAAGAAGAAACTTTATCCTGAAAGCACACCAGGACTCTCAGAAAAAAGGGAAAAGCCAGCAGAATAGACACCTAAATTTCTTCCTGATGGTGTACCAGCAAGAAATCAGTTTGGAAGAAGATATAGAAGATCCTCTGGCACCATAAAAAGGAATTTGCCCCAAATTCCCTTTTTTTTTAACATGCGGACAAACAAGTCCACAATTTATAAGAAACAGATCAGTCTTCTACCCCAAGTTAATTTTTGTTTTGCAACTGTTTGCTTTGTGGGGTTTTGCAAGCAGAGAGAGAGAGACTATCCCTGACACAACCACGGAAGTGATCCTTTCCCCAACCTCCTGTGTTTGTCTTTCTCATAAATGAAAAACCGCAGATGCACATGTTGAAATAAGCTGAGTCACAAAATTCATAACAAGGGCACTTGTTTGCTATGGGTTATTTTGATAGTTTTATTCAATTTCCATAACTGTATGAACTTTGACATTTTTAAATTATGCAATATTTCAAACCTACCAAAAACAAGGCACTCATATAACACTCATTCAAGATCCCCCATACCTTCTTTTGCAAATAAAACTTTACACACACAGTTAAAACCCATCCTCTGGCCTTTCTCCTTCATTTCTTCCCCAAAAACAATCATTCTGAAATTGGAGTGAATCATATAAGTAAGTAAAGTCTTAAGGTTTGGGACATAGGTATAGATGTCCTTAAATCGTTTAATGTAGGTTTTCCATGAGGATTCTTTTTAAGCCATTAATCAGAGGAAAAAATCAATAACTAAAACCAAGAAAATATTGTTACATTACTAAGTTTTTGGAAGCAGGGCAGAACTATTGCTCCCTGTGACAATGAGCAGGAATAATAACAAAAGGATTAGACAGTGGGTAGTATCCAGCTCTCAGGGTTACACAGATCCTCCCATGGTTACCAAAGGTCAATAGAAAAACAAAACAATACCCCCTTCCTTTACTGGTTACAGGGGAAATGGAGAAAATGGGACCTAGGTTAACACTTCTTTGAGCAGGTAACACAAATGGACCATATGGTGGTGAAAGCACTTTTTCGCATGGTCTCTAGGCTATGTATGATCTTTCTGTAATTTACCACTTTTCCAAGTGTAAGGGACTCCAGGGATAGCTCTCTTTCAGGTTGAAATCAGCTGTGTTGAAAATTGTGGGGTTGAATCCTCCCTGTTTCCCCTACATGGGGACCTTCATTTATGCAGAGAGTCACGGAAAGCAGTTTACAGGGCTTTGACTTAACCTCCTCCAGCAGTAAAAGGGCTCTGAAAGCACCAATTTTTCTTAAATGCCATTGACTGGTGAAAGACATCCTTCCCCACCCCCACTTTCCTCCAGCTTCTAGCAGGATGCCTCTCATTAATTATACTGGCACAGCGCTGCCTGGCCTCTTCCACAGAGCTTCCAGATTTCCACATATCACCGCTGCCTTGATGCAGAATGTGTACTGACACCAGGATTACAGAAAATCCTGTAAAAGGGGCCTGATACCCGGTAAGATGATTGATGTGCCTTTGTGGGAGGCCCCCCACTGTGCTGCAGTTATAGGGGGATTCAAAGAAAACTACACTAGGAAACTGTGTTGGAAGCAAATTTTTCCAGCTGTATGAAAATGGTGCTTTCTGTTGCAAGAATAGTCATACTCAAATTTAACCAATAATTTAAACAAGTACCACAAAGCAAAAAAATGAGGAAAATGAATATTATCCTGATTTTAATCAATATTACAAGAAGTAAAGAGAATGATAAAAGGACTTACCATGAAGAGGTTATCCCTCCTTCAACACATTTCTTAAGGAGTTGCCAGGTAACACACACTACCCCCATGGTAAATCTTAGCTGAAATATAGATTTTTTTTAAGATTTATTTATTTATGCATATAAGAAATGGGGTACAGGCCAGAGGTGTGGGGGTGAGAGGATTCACCAGAGACAGAGTGGGGAGCAGAACAGGCAGATCGACTGAAATACCCTGCTGAGGGGAGCAGTGGGGAAGACAGGAGAGGCCTGCTGCGCCATATGGGTAGCTCCCTGGCCGGAGATTGAGCTCCTGCTGCAGTGGCTTGAGCCACCAGGGAGGCCCTGGAATATAGATATTACTCCAGAAGTAGAAGGCAACAGCTGCCTTATCGCTCTCCTCCATGTATTGGTCAATCCTCTATGTATTGCATGTACTTTTTTTTTTTTTTTGTATTTTATTTATTTATTTATTCATTCATTTATACAAGCACTGGGTACAGTCAGAAGCGCGGGAGGGTGAGAGAATTCACCAGAGCCAGAGCGGGGAGCAGAGCAGGCAGAAGGACCGAAGTACACTGCTGAGGGGAGCAGCGGGCGGCAGGAGAGGTCTGCGCGCCATGTGGGACCCTCCTCCGGAGGCCCGGGAGCAGCCGGGGATCGAACCGGCGCTGCAGAGGCTGCGGGCGGCTTCGCAACCCAGTGCTCAACCGCTGCGCCACCGGGGAGGCCCGTATTGCATGTACTTTTACATGCAAATAACAAAACCCTAAATCAAATTTGCTTGAGAAAGAAGTCAAAGTACCAACTCCAGGAATTCAGAATCATTTCTTTCTCACTTTTTTTTTTTTTTAAAGATTTATTTATACAGTCAGAAGCGCGGGAGGGTGAGAGAATTCACCAGAGCTAGAGCGGGGAGCAGAATAGGCAGACTGATGAAATACACTGCTGAGGGGAGCAGCGGGCGGCAGGAGAGGTTTGTGCGCCATGTGGGACCCTCCTCCTCCAGTGGCCAGGGAGCAGCCGGGGATCGAACAGGGCGCTTCAGAGGCTGCGGGCAGCATCGCAACCCAGCGCTCAACCACTGCGCCACCAGGGAGGCCCTTTTTCTCACTTTTTACTCCTTCTCGTTCTTTCTCTCCTTTTCTCAGCCTTCTGGTGTTATTCTCT